CAAACTGATGCAAACCCGCCAAAACCCACCTGCATCTGGCCGTGATCGCAGGTGTATCCCACCACGGTCGCAAAACATATATAAACCGTTCCAGTACCTCAAAGGTTGCGTGTAACGGCCGTCAAGCAGATCCCGATATGTCTCTGCAACCACATTCCCAAGCTGAATCTGCTCCCCACTGCCTTGTAGGTCAGGCTATTGAGCCAAAGGCTCCGGACGGAGTCCCTCAAGCGAACCTCCGGAGCACAACGATCACCTCGCGCGCGGTTGCGCACCAATGCAATTGTAGACCTGCGTGCAAAGCACTCAGCATCCGGTGCTGGAACGTACGCACACTACTGGACCGGAACTCCAATGAGCGCACCGAGCGACGCACTGCACTTGTCGCGATGCAACTAGCGCGTTACCACATCGATATTGCGGCGCTCAGTGAAATCACGCTCTCTCAGCAAGGTAAGTTACATGAAGCAGGTGCTGGATTCACATTATACTGAGTGGGCAACGCCGCCTCAGCACCACGTGTAAATGGGCTCGGATTTGCAATATCCGATCGCCCCCATGGATAGCTGGTGGGTGAACCAACAGGCATCAACGCGCGACTGATAACTGTTCGCGTACGACTCGGAAGAGCTAAGTTTGCCACCTTTATAAGCACGTATGGTCCGACCATGTGTTATCCTGATGACACGCGTGATCAATTCTACACTCAGCTATCCTCTGTGATACGGTCTGTGTCGAGGAGCGACAGACTATTTCTGCTGGGTGATTTCAACGCGCGCGTTGGACATGATGCATCAGTATGGACAGATGTTATCGGTCCGCATGGCATTGGTTCAGCGAATGCGAACGGTCACAGGCTGCTCTCACTGTGTGCCACTCAAGGCCTGACGATCACCAACGCACAGTTTGCACTGAGTGTGAGTGATATGGCAACTTGGACGCACCCACGGAGTGGTCACGCTCACCTGCTCGACTATGTCATCGTACGTCTGCGTGATATGCGTGAAGTGCGCATGACAAGTGTACTGCGTGGAGCTGAGTGTGGCACCGATCACAAATTCGTGCGAACCAAACTGTACATATATTTTCGTAAACCTATGTATTGCACTCATGTCGTGAATCGGCATAAATTTAACATTCTCTCCCTCGGTACTGAAGCAAAACGTACTGAGCTGGAGAAGGCGATGGCTGCACACCTGTGCAATGTGGACTGCATAGCCACAGTAGGCGACCTGTGGCACCACATTCGCGGCCAGGTGACAGCTGCTACCAAGGAGATCATTGGGCGCGCAAACTGTAAGCGGCCTGATGGGTTTGATGAGAACAATGCGACGATCGACGCATTGGTGTCGGAAAAGAATGCAGCATTTGCTGCACATGTCGCAGACCCCAGTGACTTGGGGAAGAGAAATCACTTTCGCAAACTTCAACGGCGACTGACCCGAGAGAGCCGTCGCATAAAATGTGCATGGTAGACGGAGAAGGCAAAGCAGATGGAATGCTCCACCGAACGCCGCCAACACAAGGAATTCTTTTACTCCTTGAAGGCGGTGTATGGACCGAGACTGGAGCTGCTGCGGACGCTGATCGATGGTAATTCATGCGCTACCTGCACACAAACTGCAGACATAATGCAGATCTGGCGAAATCCCTTTGACTGTCTTTTGAACAATCGCTCAGAGATCGACTGGCTTACATTGATCGGCCTCAAGCAGCACGATGTGAACACGAGTCTGGCGGACACGCCGACACTGGATGAGACGCAGAGAGCACTTGCTCAGCTGCGAAACGGCAAGTGTGCTGGGGTCGACGGGATCCCGCCTGAAGTATTGAAACACAGCGGACCTGCGTTGTTGACTGCGCTGCACCACTTGGTGCAACGCGTATGGATTGAGGAGGAGGTGCCTCCTGAACCGAAGGATGCCCTTGTGCTACCACTGTACAAGGGAAAAGGTAGCAAGCAATGTTGCACGAATTTTCGTGGCATCAACTTGCTGAGTTGTGTAGGCAAGACGATTGCCCGAATCCTGCTCAATCGCCTCGTCATTCAGGTTGTGGAACCTAACGTGGCGGAAGAGCAGTGTGGATTCCGTTCGGGTCGCAGCACTATAGATATGGTGTTTGCGGCTCGTCAGTTGCAGAAGTGCAGAGAACAACACCAGCCATTGTACTTGCTTTCTGTTGATTTCACCAAGGCATCTGATACGGTGAACCGCGAGGCATTGTGGCTGGTGTTGGGTAAGTTTGGTTGCCAGCGTAAGTTTGCAAGTTTTATTGAATGTCTGCACAGTGGTATGCGAACGAGGGTGCAGCTGAGTGGATAGACCTCGGATAACTTTGTAGTTGTCTCTAGTGTGAAGTAAGGATGTGTCTTAGCTCCTGCCCTGTTTAATATATATCTTCATGCATGATGTCTTGTGCTTTTGACGCCGCTTTGCTTACGGTTTTCGTGTGGAGCACCGTATTGATGTTGTGTTACTGAACATCTGTCGTTTCGGTGCGAGAACCCTACTCTGTGAGATAACTATCCGTATGTTGCTGTTTGCTGACGACTGTGCGTTGTTTGCACACAGCGCGGATGAGTTGCAGCACATGACTAGTGCTCTGGCTTCGACAGCGGCCAAATTCGGGCTCACCATCAACACAAGTAAAACTGTCTGTCTCTTTCAGCCTTCACCGGAGGTGCAATCTTCAATATTGCCGCAAATCAGCATTGATACTGAAGTATTGGAAACCACCTCCCGCTTCTGCTAACTTGTGAGTGTGATGTCGACTGACAAGCAGCTACACAGTGAGCTGCGTATCTGCGTCTCTAAGGCAGCGGCGACATTCGGGAAGCTAGAGTACCGAGTGTGGAACAACCATCAGCTTACCATTAGCACGAAGCTGATGCTGTACAAATCCATGGTGCTGTCCGTTCTTCTATACGGCAGTGAAACGTGGATGATGTACCGTCGGGATGTGCGAGATTTTGAGCGGTTCCATCAACAGTGCTTGCGACGGATTTTGCGCATCGGTTGGGGCGACAGAGTTGCAGACACGAAAGTTTTGCGCCGAAGTTGGATGTATGCAGTGGACTGCATACTTTTACTGAGACACCTGAGGTGTATCGGTCATGTGAGCCGTATGGATTCGACGCGGATACCGAAGCAGCTAGTATATGATCAGCTGAGTATAGGGAAGCGGCACGTGGGGAATCCAAAGTTACGTTCTCAGAACATGGTTAAAGTGAGCCTCACACGTTCTAATCTTGATTGCAGATCATGGGAATCGAAGGCGGTTGATCGGCGTGCATGGCGCCATCTGATCAGGAAGGAAGTTGCCGAGGTGCGGAGAAGAAGCGGCAAGTACGGAAGCGGCAAGCACCAATGGTTGTACTCTATGGACATCAAGCGCATGGTGCTGTAGCACATCCGGTCGCGAGTGTGTGAGTAAGGCAGGCTTAGTGAGCCATGAGCGAGACCACTCGGGACCACTACCGAAGCGACGACGGGTCCTGCAGAGAACGTAGGCAGAACCAGCGCAGCGTTTGTAGGTACGCTGCATCCGATTTACTAACCGCGTGCTTGCATGCTAAGTCTCTATTTCAGGTGGTGGATTCTCAATTTTGTCCTAAGGCTTCCCTTTTCAAATAAATGTTCACCCGTACGCTCTTCTATAAACCTGCACAACTCACTTAAGCCACTTGTAGTTAATTTCGATAACATTTTTGTGTTTGTGTCATTTCCGTAGATTATACTTTCTGACTTCTTGAACTTATCTCGGATCCTTTATTAACAACTTATTTCATATGCTCATTAATTTTAGATATTTGTCACGTTTCCTTATCCATTATTCGACTTATTTTCCTTGCTATCTTCCTCTCAAGTGATTGGCTGTTGTTTGATATCCCCCATGTGGCTGCGCTTGATGTGCATGTTGACAAGGTGCCTACCTGTTTGTTACCCACTACCTCGTCCATACTGGCTCCAGGAGACAGTTGGTCGTTGCTGGAGGGGACGGGGTGCACGGTCTTTGTGGCCGTGCTAGGCTCGAAGAGTGGTTCCATGCACTCAGTGTGGAGCGGACTACGGTCCAGCCACCGCTTTGTGTGCATTTGATTCCCAAAATACAGCGTGCTTGTGTTTGCCTGTGAAGGACTGTGGGCCGGCTCCGTTGATGAAACGTGGCTCCCATCCGCATGCCTCCCGGTCTTATTCCTTCGGGTTTACACTGGATATGGAGTGTGTGGATGGAGCTGTGGTTGGTGCAACGCAAGCCATCCATGGTCCCTCTGTAGGCGCAGGCGTCCTGTGGCTGACCACAGTGACAGGCAAATCCGAAACCGGATGCCGCCAATCATATATATATATATATATATATATATATATATATATATATATATATATATGTATATATATATAAGGTTGGAAACGTACACGGTAGTGTAAGACGCGCATCGAGCTAACTAACGGTTAGGTATTCGGTTCTGGTAGTTGCCCGTCATCATCCATGTCGCCGTTATATTAACCATTCCCGGGAAAGTGAAGGGTCGGGGATTGTAAGCACAAAGAAGACAGGAAGGATGCGCATAGCTAATGGTTCTTAAAATATCGAAACGGTCGTCCAGTGTGTTTTGAATGTACAGTGACTGCATGACTTAGATGAAGCTTACTCGTAAAGTGAAAAGTTGTCTAAACAAGCACAAGGAAAGTATAATAGGACAGGCGGTCGATTGTTAAAGATATGCAAGCGTGTCCGGCGGAGATCTCCGTCAAAAACCGTGAGTGGCTTAGGAGAAAGGGTATGATTGGTGAGCATGAACCGCGTCTAAATGTAAGTCCTGAACTCGTTCATCCTCGTGCAGTTAACTCAAAGTTATATCACTGATGAGGTCCGACAACTAGCGTACCTTCTACCTAGGCAATGAAAATGCGTAGTGAAATGGGCTGCCTATCTAACATGCTGGGACGCAAATACCACGTGGTCAGTTTAGGGAAGTGAGTGAAATGGAGACATACATTTTTTGGAGATGTAGAGAAAAGCGGTAGGTCTGGAATTCCACGTGACGCAAACTCCTCCAACGATCGGAGCATTTCCTCTCTTCTAGTGACGTCCGCGTTCAAAACCTGTCCGATGCGGAATTGTACCTGAAGCAAATGGAAAGGGTAGAGTTAGGAGACAAGAGGAAGTAAAATGTTCTACGGCTACTTGATTAAGGAAAGGTTAAATTACAGCAATGTATGAAAGGATACGAGCCCAGTGGACACGGATGGGAGCAATTGCTTGGCAGCGCCAGGTAGTTGCGGTACACCAGAACCTTGGACCGAATCGGTTAATTGCGGACTAGGATCCCGGTTTCGAATCGAAATGCAGTTGAGTCTAACTTAAAGAACGTTAGAAGAACTGAGGCGTTCGGAATTGATAAAAAAAGGCCAGAAAGCCGGTATATTATGCGATGACCTGAGGGGCACGGACATCTCTGTTCGTGGTTAGTAGGACTGTGGCTGTCAGCCGTTACGCTTCTTATTAAGCATGTAGAGCTTGATAAGTACCCAACCTGGATGTGGTGGAGTCCCACAGCAACAACAAATCAAGTCTAAAGAGGACGCAAGTTCCCGGTTAGTAACATTTTCAGCAAGTTATACTGTCAAAATCAGTCCGTTGATAGTTTGGAGCCATGAGTTACTTATTAGGAAGACCTAATAAGTGATAGTTAATAAATGTGATAGTTAATAAATGATAGTTAATAAATGAAATGCATGAATGCAACAGCTCATTACTTACAGACAAACCAGATGGTCAATAGGTTCACAACATAACATCATACAACACTGCTGACTAAGATTCCATGTCAGTGACTTGAAGCTAGGAGAGCACACAAACCATTTAATCTAGTGAATGCCCGATAATTTCGTGGCGAGAAGTGGGGTGTGTTAGTGATATCTCACGTCTTTGCATAGGAATAGAAGAGGGAAAGTTAAAGCTAGTTAGCCAGGAGGTAACCTACCGGCAGACCAAGTAATTCAGAGCAGGTGAGTTCCGTATGCTTCATCGGCTACATTTAGCCTATGTAAAAGAGCTGCTTGGTAAAATTCAAATCAAGTCAAAATAAGCTTTATGTACCCTAATGCGTTCATTCTAAGCATTTACTCCATCACTGCGGACACATGGATGATAAGATCAATATACATGTTTGGGTAGAAAAGTGGAAAAAAGCAGAACTGTTACTCCAAAAAGCGCTCGCGCAACATTTTTGCGACTTTCGCTGGGTCAACAAGCGATCGTGAGAGATAAGGCAAAACAGTATTACGACATGATGACGTGCGGGAGAATAAATCTGAATTTCGAACGGGTAGAAGAGAAAGAGAGCGTTTTGGAAGGATCATTGTGAAGTGGATGAAATCGAGTAGTTAGTACCTTAGAAGAAAAATTATTGTAGGCACCAAGATGTCTAAAAATAAACAAATAAACTAAAGAAACTCTAGACAAGCCACTGCATCGAGCAATGTGCTTTACAGACCTCACCAATAAAATGTTTTAATGAAGCAATACAGCGAAAATGACAGGAGAGCAGTATGGCTAAGGGGGAATAATACGATGAGGAAAAGCAAAACACAGCTTCTTGTCCAGGATGATACACCGTTGCCCAGCTAATTTGACAGTCATTCCAGATGGCTGATCACTTGGTCTAGCGAAGCAGAAACCTTACCACAAATCACACAGAAGGGTAAAGCCACTGTTATCGTCATCATCATCATCATCATCATACACACTGGTGAGAGATACCTCAACAACAGAAGTCCATTACCTTAAATCAACACCATACCTTCCAATATGTGTCCGGTGAACGCAGTTTCCACAACTTTGTCAATAGCGAAGATGAGAAGGAAAGGTGACAGTACATATATTTGTCTAACACCGTTGGAGATATTGAAGGGAGGTGACAGGACTTATGGTATAAGCCGTAAGCCACAAACTTAACTTAGTCAGTGAATGAAATGAACAGGTTTATACTTAGCACCACTGCACGTTAACTAAAAGAAACACCACAGCTATTTCGGGGTAACACAAAAAGACAAGATCTATGAAAAAGATAGATCCAAATCATTATAACGCACAAAACAAAAACGATTAAAAGCAATAATTAAGCTTATGCATCGGGAATGAGATCGTCGTTGGAGGGGAAGCTAAGCGAGGGGAGGAACAAAGGAACTAAAAACACAAACGCTACTGAAGTCCACTCCTAGTCATGTCAATAAGTGCATCCTAACAAACGTGTTCATCGTCATTCGGACGTCAACCAGGAAGTCGCGAGGCTCCGATCGGGACCAAATTCGAAGAGAGGGCATTTATTCCTTCACCGGTTAGCCCATTCTTCTCCTTTTTCATCCAGATCCTGATCAGGTGTATCAATGGGCTGGCATTCGTAAAATATGACCAAGCCATCAGAGCCTAGTGATGAGCGACTCACTCGCTTCTCCTGTGTCAAGCAAGACAATGAAAACGCTTATTGGTCATGCGGTGTTTGCACCAGATGTGATTAAAACTGTGAAGGTAGTGATTGTCGAACGGAGTCAGCCTCCTTATGTCCCGATCTGACGAGCCAGGTTCCACAACTGTACACTTCAGACTCTAACCATCGCCATAAGCGATGAAGTTGAGCAAAAACACATCGAGCTTTGGCTATGCGATAGGTGACATTATTTCTATTGCACAATCATTGATACAACGGCCAGGTATTTGAATTTTCGAACGACTTTAGCTGATCTCTACAAAGGGTCAGTATAAGAGGTGGTCCGTAGCAAACTTGAAGGGAAGTATTGCACAGGAAAGACCGAGACGGTTGACGGCCGACGCTAACTTGCCCACTGCTGTTTGGCACGTTTGTGGTCGGTCAAAGATTAGCACGATCTCGTCGGTATACTCCAAGTCAAACCGTCGCTCACCTGGAGGCAGCTCTACACCTTTCAAGTCGTGGGCGGTGAACATATTTTTCAAAATCGCGTCGACAGTGAAATTAAAAAATGTGACAAGGGACATCCTTGTTTCAAACCGCTGAAGAGATATTGTGGGACGAAGACAGCCTGCTACCAAAAATGAAAGGCATCAGCAATACGCAGTATCAAGGCTTTGCTGCCGCGTAAGTACCATCAGTCGCGTGTGGGCTAAGGATACTATGAAGGTCGCCCGGTCCCCTAAGCAGGCTCGAACCCGGGACCACAGATTACAAGGCAGTCTTGTGATCTCTAAGGTTACGGGCTTGACAGAGTAAGGGCACGTAGCAAGCTAAACTACAAGCGGAAAGTGCTCTGAGTAAGTATTCCTTTCCTGATCATACAGTACCAAAAAGTATATCGATCGAACGAATCGAAGGCACCATTGATGTCGAGGGACATGACTACGGTGTGTCACCAGGATAAGGGCAAGACCAGTAACTGGTGCTAGGTGAGGATGCGACCCATGCAGCCTCGATTCCGAAGAAACACGGCTTGCTCTTTATGAATCTGCATTTCAAGTGTGTTACTCAGTCTATGAAGAATGACACAGACAAGTAACTTGAAAGTGATAGAGATCAGGCTGATACCAGTATGGCTGCCGTATTCCGAACTTGAACTTTCCTAGAAAATTGGAATAACTAAGCGACTACAGTAGCTAAAATCAGTTCTCTACATCAAGCTTCACGAATACATCGTGTAGATCGTCCATGAGCGATGGTTCCGTAAATATGAAGAGGGACCTTATACCTTCATAGCTTATTAAATGACAATGCAGACAGTGAGGTATGCGTTCATCAATCAACAGCAAGTGGTGTAATACCATAGAAAGGTCACTGATACTGGAATAACCGGAGACAGACGTAGGCATCGCTCATGTGCGGAGGGATGAGCAGATTAGCCTGCTTTCCATGCGATCCACGCTGACCGCATGAAGTTGAGTGATTTGACTGCCGGAGTGATACTTGGCCGGAAAATAGTTCGAAGTGGTTGGTGATAAAATGGCGGAGAAAACCGGGAAAAGTGACCGAGTCAAGTGATATTTTGCATGCTGAATGTAGTGACAGGGGTTCCGAGAACCCTCGCACCAGTGAGTAGAACTACCTAGTATTGTATGCTCAAAGAGTCGGTGACGTCGTTATGCTTCCAACTGTCAAAAGAGTGATTCAAGTGGCTATTACTCCGCTACTCAACTGAGCTACGACCGTTTACTTGTTTCCACTCGGTTCACCAAGGTGCATTATTCTTGTGAATTGCGACTTGAAAACTCGGAGCACAATAGTTTGATGGTCGAATCACATTCCACTGACCAAGCCGTAGCGATTAGTCGCGGAATGACATTAATCTCATGAGGGTAGGCAATGATTTAGATAGCTGCTCATATGGTTATCCATGGGATAAAATCAATCAAGTATAAGAGCATGCTGAGAATGGAAAGATTGCGGAAACTGCTGTCATGTTCAGATCATAGGAAGACCATGTTTATCAGATAAATAAAACCGGGTGTAGTGAAAACATACCTGAGCAAAGTGCGTGGTAAGTGCCATTAGAGCTCGATTCATTCTTTCGTTCTCCGAAGTCAGCTTGAAAAACTCATCGTAGTTGACATTTGACGAGTCAAAACCACCCCATTCGTCCGGTTGGTAGGTACAACTTGGCTCTGGACTTGAATTAGCACCCAACGGTGCCCATCGTTCCTTTGGACGACCATCCTCCCCGACAATAGAGAAGGTATCCTCCTCTACTGTCTCAGTGCCAGCTGGTAAACGCTCAGCGATGACCTCAGTTGTAACCATGATGCTAGCAGAGTGTCACCGACGAATCTGGGTGTCCAAAATACAGAGAAAGAAAAAAGTAAATCTTCGTTCACGGATACAAATTTATCGGGAGGCTTCGAGGCAACATAAGGGAGGGGGTAGAAGTACATTAAGACAGCAAGAAAGGACAAGTCACAAAAGATGATTCTGAGGTTGATCTACTGAACAGTTTTCCATTTGAAATGATTTGGAACACTGGTAGCTCGGCTTGGTTGCTCACCTGTTGATCGTTTTTCCGAGCTTGATTAAGAAATCGCATACGTTTCACCACCATGCGAGGTGGCATCTTCAGTGCAGTAATAGGCAGTGTGTAATGCTGCTTAGTGAATTGTCAGTCCGTCATCCACGGGCAGGTGACTTTTGAAGGTGGCGATTTCGATTTGTGCCACGTGATCTCTGCCCATTTGCTTCCACGGCTGAACCAGGTCTTGCGATTCGCCGGAGATCTTTCTTTCGGAGTTGATGGTACATGGGGTCAATGTCGATGCGCAAGTTGATCGAATTATTAGAGGAGTACCATGCTTATAGGAACTCTCTTCCTTTCTGTGTTGTTGTTTGAGCTAAAATCACTGTTTGGTTCCAATTGAAGCTATGTCCCTCCTCATCTACATGCGCTGAGACAAGAGACGATGCATAATGTTTTTTACAAGCCCCCTGATGTTCTTGTATTCTTGTGAATAATTTCCATCCTGTCTGCCCCACATAGTTCATTTCACAATTATCGCAATTTATTTTATATGTTGACGATACATTTGTAATACTGAAACGCAGTGAAGTAGAAATCGCACACCAACTGCTCAACAATGCAATGGATGGGGTTCAGTTTACAATGGAGTTAGAGGCAGAAAACATGTTCCCATTCTTGGATGGTGAATTTCAAACATCCGTTCACAGGAAAGGGACACATACGGATCAAATTTTGAACTTCTATAGCAATCATCCAAAGTGCCACAAAATAAGTTGCGCGCGGACACTATTTCGCAGGATTGAAACACACTGCAGCACAGTGGAAGCCAAACGGGAAGAAGAGAAACACCTATACGATTCGTTCGAGCACAATGGCTACCCACGCAGCTTCATCCGCAGATGTCTAAACCATAAACTTATGTACACCGAGCCGATACCAAATGCAAGCAAGAGGGTCGTTTTGCCGTATATGAAGAACATATCTGAAATGACAGCCAGATTGCTCAAACAATACAACATCGTGGTCGCTCATAAGCCAACCGCTACTTTGCGAAGAATACTATCAAACCCAAAGGATATTAGGAATGCACAAGAACGAACAAACGTCGTGTATAAAATAAATTGCAATAATTGTGAAATGAACTATGTGGGGCAGACAGGAAGGAAATTATTCACAAGAATACAAGAACATCAGGGGGCTTGTAAAAAGCATTATGCATCGTCTCTTGTCTCAGCGCATGTAGATGAGGAGGGACATAGCTTCAATTGGAACCAAACAGTGATTTTAGCTCAAACAACAACACAGAAAGGAAGAGAGTTCCTATAAGCATGGTACTCCTCTAATAATTCGATCAACATGCGCATCGACATTGACCCCGTGTACCATCAACTCCGAAAGAAAGATCTCCAGCGAATCGCAAGACCTGGTTCAGCCGTGGAAGCAAATGGGCAGAGATCACGTGGCACAAATCGAAATCGCCACCTTCAAAAGTCACCTGCCCGTGGATGACGGACTGACAATTCACTAAGCAGCATTACACACTGCCTATTACTGCACTGAAGATGCCACCTCGCATGGTGGTGAAACGTATGCGATTTCTTAATCAAGCTCGGAAAAACGATCAACAGGTGAGTTTTCCATTTAGTTTTCGGCAAGAGTTGCATTTCATCCTTAGTAACAGTAGTGAGATGCATAACACCGACCGAGTTACGGTGGGTCCAAAATAGTGCGTCCAATGAAGGCTTAGCTCAGCAAAAGTTTCGAATTTAGAGATAACTTGTGTGCATTAAACTGCAGCGTGCAAAGCAGATTTGGATCAAAATACACACTGAAGGAAATCTGAGTCATTCCAACACCGATACCACATCCGAAGTAGACATTATGGACGTTCTTGGTTGGACTTTTCAGGTAAATACCAAGGCGATGGGTCGCCCAGTCCCTATCAGGCTCGGACTTGCGACTTCTGATTACAGGGCAGTCTTGTGATCCTTAAGACAATGAGTCGGCTCCAGGGTCTCGATGGAAAAAGTGGAGGCTAGGCGACGACTTGGTCCAGAGGGAGGAAAGTCCTCATTTATAATGGCGTCGGTTGCTGTCCACAGACTGTCGATCTAACATCCTAAGGACGAGGAACACGTTTAGTTGGATACACTAGGTGACATGGCGAAGAGCCGACCGCAATGGCGTTTGTGTCTCTCTCACTGGCACTGACCATGAACTTGTATGTGCTGATCTGCGGGTGCGTTCTGGTGGACGCCGGCGACGACGCTATGAGCGCATAGACTCACCAACTGACGAAGGCAGATGTTCTGAATGCGTATCAAAGTACGCTGGCATGTCGGTTGAGTGAGCGCTCACTGAATACGGTAGAAGGTCACTGGTCGCATGTTCATAAGATCTTACTAGGAGCAGGCAAATTCTCCTGTGGTAAATTCAACAGTCAACATCGACATTTGGTCTTTTCGCAATCGCTGGAAATTATCAATGCTCACCGGCACATTCGGCTGTACGCGGACACAATGAGACTCGTGAAGACCTAAGGACAAAAATCCGTGCTAGCCAGAAGAAGTCTCATCGTCTGTCAAAGAAGGAAGTGATCGCTGCCCTTAGTAACCATCGGAAGTTGTTCCGTCATTAGGAAAACGGGTAGCATAAGACATGGAGTTAGTGAAACAATACGTGGCGAGAGTGGACAGCCTGTCCACAACTTATTAACACGCTTGGGGCTTTGGGCTAAGCACTTGAAAAGGCCTATGAATACGCCTCCTGCCCAGAAATCGAATGAGAGATTGAACTGCTGAAAGTGAACAAGGCCGCAGGAACAGGTGATCTTCCTACAACCCTCTTCAAACTCAGGGGACCTGCTCTTGTGGATGATTTACATGAGTCTTTAATGACATTGCGGGAGAAGAACTGTCCCAACCGACTGCAGCCACTTCGATCTGCAAGGGGCGTTCACGTTCGGAATGCGGCAACCATAGAGGAATAAGTCTGATCTCCACCGCCTCCAAATTGCTTGCCACTGTCATCCTTCACAGACTGACTGGCACTTGTGAAACCCATATTCGTGAAGAGCAAGACGGGTTTCGTCATGGTCACGGCTGCATCCATCACAGTTTCACTTCACGTCAACAGTTGGAGCACCATCACATATATTGGCGCTTTGGGACTATGTGTGACCGAAAAATATGTTGACATTATCCAAGCGCTTCACGCGCGTACCTCAGGCAGAGTGAGGGATTACAACAAGCTGTCGCTGCCCTTTAGTATCTCCAGCGATGTAAGACAACGAAGCCTGCGGTCACCTTTCCTCTTCAACTTCACTATTGACGAAGTCATGGAAATTGCATTCACTGGACACAACTTAGGCGTGGAGCTGATCCCAGGTGCACGACTTCTTGACGACATTGCCACCAATTTGTGACAGCTCCTAGAAGTGCCAAGCAGCACTAGACAGATTAGCAGTTGCTGTCAACTGCCTCGGGCTTTGTTTTCCACCCTCAAAGTGCAAAACTTTCATCCAAGATAGGCAGGGACCGACTCCTGCTCTGACCCTAGGTGGGAATCAGCTAAAAGTTGTTCAGAAGCACAGACGAGATCACGAACCGTATAGCAAAAGCTCGAAGCGCTTTTGCTAATCTTCGCCACCTATAGTGTCGACACGACATCACTCTCGCCCTGAAGGGTAGAGTTTATAGTGTAGCCGTCCGTCCGACTCTATTGTACGATTGTGAAACCTGGTCCAATCGACCGGTAGATGTAAAGAGGTTAGTTACGTTTGACCACCGGTGCCTTCCCACTTTGGCTCACATCTGGTGGGAATATCACGTGAGCAATGAGTGTGTGCGGTGCCGTAGCTATGGTACAGGAAAAGGACTGAACCACTGAACACGGTTATTTCACGCACCAGGATCCGATGACCTGGCCTCGTGTTACCCATGTCAGCCCACCGACTCCCGCGACGTGCTTTGTTTGCGCACCTGGGGTGTGGATGGAAAAAGAGGAGGTCAAGCGATGACTTTGTCAAGAAGAGTGAAGGCCATCACTTCGAAGTTCAATTCAGTTGAACAACTATGATGCGAGCACCGAAGTGCGGCAGATCCGGTTGCCACGACTCATATCACAAGCATAATAATAAATAACAACGTTAAGATAATGCCGTTGAATGCAAATGCAATGTAAAGAAAATGGAAGCAAGTGGGAAGTGCATTAAATTAATCCGAATGGAACGAAATTTGACAACCAGATGCAAGAAAACGAATGCAGGAACGCTACTGGCTGCGTGACTGCGCCATGTCTGATACGGTCTCTAACCATTGGTGTGGACCATCCCCAGCTTGACCAAGTCTCTGAGTCAGTTCCTTCATGCCTCTATGCCACGTCATGGACTGGCCACCACACGGTTCCAAAAAATTTGGTGCAGCCACGGTGTATAATGCAAGCCGAGGAATCCGGTCAACAAGCATACGGAGAACATGGCCTATCAGTGTAAGCGATTAAGATTCAACAAACACTCGAGTGAGGCACCACAAGGTTTCTTACCAAAAACCAACTGGCAGACCTCAGCATTGCTCACCCGGTATTCCCATCAGACGTGAGCAATACTCTGCAAGTACCGGTGGACAAACACGACCAAGGGTTTAGCGTCTTCGTCGCGAACTGACCAGGTCTCTGATTCATAAAGTAAGAGCGGGCTCACCGTAGCGTTATACACCATACCTTTCACTGACAGGCTGATATCCCGCTATCTCCATAGATGGTTGAGCCTATGGAAAGCAACACGGGGCTTGCTGATACGCGAAGTAACTTCCTCAGTGAT